TAATCCCCATGCGCTCCTCTTACACAGGCTCAGGATGAATACAAAGTAAGCACCTGGCTCCCTGCTGAGTCACATAGTTAAACTTCTCAAATTAACACAATGAATGACATCCCAGAAGGGTAAGGGTGTGTCCTTTTCACTCCAAGATGCAGAACTGCTGAGTCACTTAGCCAAACCTCTAGACTCCCCAAGTTGACACAGTGTATCAACCAGAACAGTTACCAAGGGGATTGTGCTGCTAACCTTCCTAAAACACCCTGTTCCCACTCTTCCACTTTGAGGGTCGGGCTTCTCATAGTAGCTGTTTTAACTCTCTCCATTGCTCTTTTTTTTTTCCTTTCTTGAGACAGGGTCTCAGTACATAGTTCAAGCTGGCGCTGAACTCGCTATATTGCATAGGTTGGCCTTAAACTCATGGCAGTCTTCCTCCTTCGGTCTCCTGAGTACTGAGATTGGAGGAGTGTGCCTCCATGGCCAGCTATCTTCATCAGTGGTACATTACCTTGGGAATCACCCATATCATCTCTTCGTTTTTTAATATCAGGACTCATTATGTTGCCCAAGCTGGTCCTAAATCCCTGGGCTCCAGTGATCCTCTTATCTCAGCCTCCTCAGTAAACTAGGACTATAACCACGCACCCCCAAACCCAGCAATCTATGCCCTTCCACAGATCTAGCAGTGTACCATGATCTCCAATTTGCATTATGATCTCTTCTTGACCCTTAAATCTTTCTAGAGATGAACAGTCCTTGGAAAGCAGGGAGATAAGAATTTACATGGCTTGTCATTGAATATTGTTTCCTCACATGTGTCAATGCGACCGAGTTTAGCTTTGAAATGGCTCCTCACAAAACAAGGAGAAAGGCTGTGTATGGAAAGTCGACAGTCCATGAGACAAGGGAGATAGATCTAAATTGAGAAGAGAGAGTGACTGCTTGGGAGATTAATTCCCCTAGCAGCTGCCTCAACCCCAGTATTCTCAGAATTGCTATGAGAACCACACAAGAATAATCTAGCTCTTAAGAAGGTGCCGACTCTTTCCAAGCATTGCCATTAAATTCCCCTGATGTGTTCTTATCAGGAATTGATTTTAAAAGATGCGTGCCTAACCAGGAAAGAAGTGAGCTGAGCAAAAGAAACCCCTGTCCTGGCTGGACAGAGGAAATACTGAGGTTTTAAAAGAACTTGGTAAGTCATGCCATGGTGCGCATTCTGTTCTAGATCATTTGTTTATTGTTAGAGAAATGGATAGTTCCTGGCACCTAACACATTCTTCATAAATATTCACTAAAGGAAAGGGAGGATAAATGTGTCCACTGGGAGATGGGAGCCTAGAAAAATAAACACAGTCAGGCTTTGGTGGTCTTGCATGGCTGTGATAAATAATTGTTGCTGGGCATAGCGGCACATCCCTTGGTAATCCCAGCTATTCAGGAGACTGAGGCAGGAGGATTGCAAGTTTGAGGACAGCCTGAGCAACTTACTGAGACCCTGTCTCAAAAGAAACAAAAAAGACGGAGAAGGAAGGGAAGGAGAAGGAGGAAAAGGAGAAAATATGCCTTCCATGAGCTGCCTCTAAATCCCAAAGTGATAAGGACAAAGCAGAGAAGCATCCAGCAATTGCCTCTGACTACAGACTTCCACAGCCTAGATGAGCTCCCTATTTCTTCTAAACTGATGGGGAAATAAACCAGAGCCAGGCCCACTAACAATGTCAAGGGATTAATGAGAACATTATCAAAACATGTCTAATTGTTTGCATTTCTTTAAATCTTTCATCATTTAAATCCCCATTTTTATATTAGTTCATAATGGAATGTTATTTTAAAAATCTCCCTTTCTTATAATCATATTAATTGCAGGAGGAAGCACAACACATACTTAAGCTTTGTAACACTTGACTAATTCTTCTCTAATCCTCACTCCAGCTATCTTAGTTACTTTTCTCTTGTTGCTGAGACAAAATACCCAATGCCCAAAGTTAAAGGAGGAAAGGTTTATTTAGCTCACAGTTTGTACAGGTTTCAGTTCATAATTGGCTGGTTCCAAGGTAGGATGGCATCGCAGAGGGGTATCACAGAGGAGAACCTGTCCATGGTGGATGGAAGGTAATAAATCAACAAGGGATGACCTTCTATTCCTTATAGCTTATCCAGGCTACTTAGGACAGGTTGCACTCACACACTTAATCCTACTTCCCTTGATCCTAGCCTTGCTCCGTGAATTACTTCCAGGATCACACACCACCACCACTGAAAAAGTTCCGGCCACCTCTGAAAAAGCTCCACCTCTGACCACATGAAGCTTTGGGGGAACATCTGCCAACTGCTGGTAGCTACCATTCTACCTTCTGCTTCTATGAATTTGACACTTTAGATTCTACCTGTAAGCGAGGTCATGTGATATTTGTCTTTTTGTACCTGCCTTATTTCATTCAACATAATGTTCTCTAGGTTCACCCATGTTATAGTAAATGAAAGGATTTCCTTTTTTAATGCTGAATGGGCTGGGCATGGTGGCGCATGCCTGTAATCCCAGCACTCGGGAAGCTGAGGCAGGAGGATCATTGTGAGTTTGAGTTTGAGACCAGCCTGGGCTACAAAGTAAGCTCAAGGCCAGCCTGAACTGCATAACGAGACCCTGTCTCAAAAAGACAGAAAAAAAGGCAAATGCTGAATGATATTCCACTTTGAATATATACTACAATATTTTTCCAGGGCTAAAGATCAAACCCAGAGCTTCTCACATGCTAGGTATGTGCTCTCTTGCTGAGCTGCACCCTCAGCCCCATATACCATATTTTTTTAACTTTTTTTACTTCTTATGTTTATTAGTGTATGTTTTATCCAGTCATCTGTTTTTCAACACAAAATTGATGTTCTAACTATAGCTTCTTCACAGAAGAACGAAAAAAAAAAAAGAATGGGAAAGAAAGAAGAAGAAGAAAAACAATATGGCAGATTCCCTTTACTGTATAAACTTTGGGTTTTAATTTGATTCTATGTGATTTTGTTTTCTAGGGAGAGTTGCACTCACTAAACAGAGATGTATTAGTGAGCTTTCTGTCACTCTCACAAAATAGCTGAAGTAATCAGCCTATAAGAAGGAAAGGCTTCTTTTGGCTCATGGCTTCAAGGTTTTAGTCCATGGTTGTTTGGACCAGTGGTGAAGCAGCCCATGATGGTGGGAGCACATGATGGATGACCCATGCTCAGGGCATAGCAGGCGGTGCCCTGGAAGAGGATTGTGACCAGGATCCCACAGAACTCTTCCAGGGCACATCCTAATGACCTAACCTTTCCCCGTGAGGCCCTGCCTCTTAAAGGACCCATCCAATAGCACCACAGGCTGAGGACCAAGACCTTCAGCACATGACCCTTTGAGGGATGCCTCCAAACCATAGCAAAAGGTCATCCAAGCTGAACAACATCCAAGTTGACCATAAACAACTAAGTTAATTAAGTCTTTGAGATTCCATTTCAGGCATCAATACCTCAGGGAAACAGAAATGCACTGACGGTAGCCTGAAGAAAGCCTCCCACAAAGGAATGTACTGTAAGGATTAGGTGAGGTCTGGGAATGTAGCGCAGTGGTACAACACTTGCTTAGTATGCATAGACCCTAGGTTCAATCCCCAGCACCACAAACACAAAGGAAGCAAACAACAGAAAGGAATATATTTGCAATGCAGTATACTGTTGACTTCTTCACACAATGTATAAGTTTAAATAGAATTTTTTTAAACAAAGATTAAATGAGAACCTATAGGTCACAGGAAGCTGGGACTAGAACCCCATTTCTTTTTTTTTTTAATTTTTTTTTAATTTAAAGAGTAAAAGAAGGATAACATAATAATGGGGGGACTTAGCAAATTACAGACAAAATGGTAGGAAATTATCAATGGTTATTGTTTTACATATTGTTATCTACAAAATAGTTTCTCAGGAAAACAAATAGACAAATAATAGTGAGTTACAGACAAAAGAGGTAGGAGATTATCAAGAGTTGTTGTACTATACTTTGGTATCTTCAAAGTGGCTTCTAAAGAAAATAAATAGAGCTATACATGAGTGACCTATTGAAAAATCATTAACTATTCTCAATGGTTGTTGTAGGAAACACATAATAATAAACATACATCCATTTATGAAATAGGATAGGAACATTACAAACTTTACACAGTTATGGATAGATTAGTAGGAAAATATCAATGGCTGCTGTAATACATGGTGGTATCTTCAAAGTGGTTTCTCAGGAAGACAGAGATATGCAAGAAGGATCTAATAAGTAGTTACAGCCTAAGGGTTGTCAAAAATAGCATATTACCTCCTCACCAGTGACTCCTTTCACTGAGGTATGATGGCTGGAAGGAAGGCCAGGATTGAAAAGAAGGACCGAGAGACTTGCACCTGTGTCTAGCAACAGGCCATTTTCTTGTTCCTCCATAGTCATGATTACCCAGGGCTCCTTGATGGAGATGACGGTCTGGCCAGAGGGAGAAGGCAGGCCATGCCCCAAGCCCTCTCATTCCTGTTGGACTAACTGGTAGCATGGGTCTGAGCTCTGGGGCCTCCACCTCAGAGGGCAGACTGATCTCCAGTGGTCTCCTTTGCATCCAGGGCATGGCCCATGGGGCCTCTTAGGGCAGTTCCTCTTGAGGTGGCCTGGCTTTTAACAGTGGTAGCAGATGAATGCAGTTGTCGAGTTCTTCTTGGGGCCCTGGGAATCAGACCTGGGATCTGTTTCTCTTAGTGGTGCAGCAAAAGCAGCTGCTTTTTCTCAGTCTCTTTGTTTTCTCTCCTTGGCCTCCTCTTCATCATGGCTATAGAATACTGAGGAGGAAATTCTTACTAACGTCTCAAGTGAGCTATCTGGGGTGAAAGCCATTCTTTGTAGCTTTTTCTCTCCAGCTTCCCATTGCTTTGTAGAACCCCATTTCTGACTCCAAGCTTTATGTTTTTCTTTCCCCTTTTTTGTTCCCAGTGGACACAGGCTCCCCATGGAATCAGAAAACCAAACAACAGTCTCTGAATTCCTCTTGCTGGGACTCTCAGAGGATCCAGAGTTACAGCCTGTGCTTCTTGGGCTGCTCCTTTCCATGTACCTGATCACTGTGCTTGGGAACCTGTTCATCATCCTGGCCATCATCACAGACTCCCACCTGCACACACCCATGTACTTCTTCCTTTGCAATCTGTCCCTTGTTGACATCTTCTTCTCCTCCACCACTGTCCCCAAGATCCTGGTGAACATCTGGACCCAGAGCAAAGCTATCCCTTTCGCAGGCTGTCTTGCCCAGATGTATGCCTTCCACCTCTTTGGGACCATGGACAGCTTCCTCCTGGCTGTGATGGCCATTGACCGCTTCATGGCCATTGTCCACCCACTGCGCTACTTGGTCCTCATGAGCCCCTGTGTCTGTGGGTTGCTGGTGGCTGGGCCATGGGTGCTCACCAACCTCCAGTCCCTGGTACACACCTGCCTCATGGCTCAACTGACCTTCTGCGCTGGCTCTGAAATCCCCCACTTCTTCTGTGACCTCATGCCCCTCCTGAAGCTCTCCTGCTCAGACACGCACATTAACGAGCTGGTAATCTTTGCTTTTGGCATCATCATGGGTGTTAGCCCACTGTCTTGCATCCTCCTGTCTTATATCTGCATTTTCCGGGCTGTCTTCAGGATTCCTTCTGCTCAGGGCAAGTGGAAAGCCTTCTCCACTTGCAGCTCACACCTCACGGTGGTGTCGCTATTCTACGGGACCATCTTTGCCGTGTACTTACAGCCCGCATCCCTCAACTCCTCCCAGAAAGACAAGGCAGCCGCACTCATGTGTGGGGTGATCATCCCCACCCTGAACCCCTTTATCTACAGCCTCAGGAACAAGGACATGAAGGCTGCCCTGAAGAAGCTTGTCAGCAAGGCAGCCTCTTCCCAGGCCTAGGGCAGAACAGTCGTTGGACACCTGCCCTGTTCCAGGACCACTGTTATGTATTAGGGGTACAGAGATGCATCCCGATCCTGCCCTTGAGGAGCTCAGAGTCCAGAAGGAAACAGGAACACATAAATAAATCCTTATAGAACAGTGGGAAAACAGGCTGAGGGTGTAGGGTTTAATCCTCAGGACTGCCTGAGGAAAAAATAAGATAGGACAATGTGGTAAATGTGTCATAAACAGATGGGTGAAATATTTTAGGAACCCAAATGGGAAGCTTTCATTTTCCTCAAGATTGTCTTCCCCATGAAAATCAGAGAAGCAGAGACTCCTTCCAAGTGGCCTCAAATTATCCCTCCCTGGGATATCAGGTTTATAAAATCTCTACATGGATAATACTACTTGGACAAAAAATGTAGTTGCCCTCTCTTTTTTTGCAATACTGAGGAATATTTGTGGTACCCAGGGGCACTTGACCACTGAGCTGAAACTCTGGGATTTTATTCTGAGACAGAATCTCACTAAGTTTGAGTCCCAGGAGGGGACTCAAACTTGTGATTCTCCTGTCTCAGCCTCCCTGCGTGCCTGAGCCACCACACTCAGCTTCCTCACCTTAGTTTTGACAAAAACAGGCCATGTATTCTCCAACTGCATCACTGTGCTTCCTGTGTGTTAAGAGAAGACTATGAAACTAACTGCTGAGATCCATGAGCTCAGACCCTATCCCATTTGACGGCCACTGGTTGTGGCCATCAGTGACTCTGGATGGGAGTTGCCAGCTTCCACGCTCCCTCTTAGGTTATGAAAGATGCCAGTGTTTGGTTCATGGAGATTCTGGTTCAGCAGGTCTGGCATTGGGCCCTGGAATCTGGGGTTTTTTTTCAATTGGGTGTTGAACCCAGAGCCTTCACACTGAGAGCTACATCCTCAGCAAACCCCTCCTCATCTCCTTTTTTGTACTTTTTATTCTGAGACAGCATCTCGCTAAGTCACTAAGTTGTCTAGGCGAGGCTTGGACTTGGAACTTCTTGCCTCAGCCTCCCAGTGGAATATGGTTGTGGTTGCTGTTATTGTTTTACAAATTTTCCAGGTATCTTTTTCTGTTTGGTACATGCTTTGCAGTACCTGTAGTTTAAAATCATCTTGGGGAGCAGATACGTGCATACAACTTGTATCTTTTTTGCATGTTTTTCCCTCCTTCCTCCCTCCTCCTCCAATTCTCCTATTCTAATTTTCATTCTTATTGGTATTATTAATTTTAGCTCCTGTTATGGCATACAATGTTGATATTCATTGAGGTTACTAGGTGGCTGTACATGGCACGTCTTTATTGTACTTATTTCCCCTTGCCCTCCTCCTCACCCCGTGCCCTTGTTTCCTTGGATCGCTCCCCTGCTGCAGTAGCTCTGCTCCCTTGTCCCCTTCCATCCCTCCTTTATCATTCTCTTTGTTTGTGCTCTGCCTCACTCAAATGACAGATACCATATGGTATTTAAGCTTGTGTGTCTGGTTCATTTCACTCAATGTTATATTTTCCAGGTGCATCTAATTTCCTACAAATGTCTCAGATTTGTCATTCTGTATAGCCAAACAGTGATCCATTATATATAGATACCACATTTTCTTTATCCAGTCGTGTGTTGGTGGGTATACAGACTGCTTCCAGGATTTTCCAGGTAACTTGGACTCAAGGAGTCCAGGGACCACAGTTCCGGGACTCAGGCCCTGGTCCATCTCTAAAGTCTGTATATTTCCTGTGACGTCCATCTCCAGATGCTGAGCCCAATGATTCCACAGATATGAGAGACAGCGAGCCAACCAGGTGGCCTGGCATGCTCAGAAAGTTAGTGTGGTGGGTTGAACTGTGTCCCCAAAAACTGTTGTTGGAGTCCTGACTTCAAGCACTTCATGATGCTGTCTTATTTGGAGATAAGGCCTTTACAAAAGTAATCAGGACAAAGCAAGCCCTCTCTGACCAACATCCCTCCTTAAAGGAAGCCAAGGGACTGGGGTACAGCTTGGGGCAGAGAGCAGGCTTAGTGTGTGCGAGGCCCCAGGTTCCATTCCCAGCACCAAAGAAAGAGAGGGGTAATTTAGACACAGACCCTCATACAGGCAGAACCCCATGTGAGGATAGGAGAGGCGTGGAACAGATTTGCCTCCACACCCCACAGAAGAAACCAGCCCTGCCCACACCCTGATCTTAGATTTCCAGAACAGTAATACAATAAATTTTGTGGTTTAAAACACCTAGTTTGTAGTACTGTGTGATAGCAGCCCTGAAAAACAAACATAGTTAGTTTGGGCAAAGACCACGTATAGATATCTTCTCAAGTTCACAATCAACCCTGGGTCCCAGGTCAGAAACTGAGCTATGGCTGGAGGGTTTAAACTGCATTGTGCTTTGCTAGGTATCTGAGCGATAAACTGATAGCAGGTGAGATCCACTCTCCAGACAGTGCTGAGCCTTTTTTATGAACCATTTCATTAGATCGTAAACAACATCCCTACAGGATTGGGCATTAACCCCTTTTCTCATAGATGAGAAAACTGAGGCTGGGAAAGTGAAGCTGCAAATAAGTGGTAGCCAAGAACTTGATGAAAACTTTATATTGTCTAGAATTCGGTGCAAAGCGGGGTCCATAAGCTAGAGCCCACTGAACCAGTCCAGCCCACAATCTATTTTTGTATGACTTGCAAGCCAAGAATTTTTTAAACATTTTTAATGGGGGAAATTAAAAGAATAGCTGGGTGCAGCATCTCACACGTGTAATCCTAGCTACTTAGGAGGCTGACACAGGAGGATTGCAAGTTTGAGGCCATTCTGGGCAACTTAATGAGACCATGTCTCAAAATTTTTAAAAAACAATTTTTAAAGGCTGACTATTCAGCTCAGTGACACAGCCCTTGCCTTGCATGTGAAAGGTCCTGGGTTCAATCTCCCATACCAAAAAGGAGGAGGAAAAGAAAGGAGAGGGGAGAGGGAGGGGCGGGCAGGGTAGGAAGAGAAGACTTCTTGACAGATTAAGACAGACAACACTGGGGCTGGGGATTTAGTTCAGTGGCACAGCGCCTGCCTGGCTAGCGCAAGGTCATGAGTTCGTTTGCCAGTACCAGGAAAAAAAAAAAAAAGACAGACAACATTATATAAAAGCCTAAATCTAGTGCCCACAACTAAAGTTTTACCCAAACACGAGCACACTCATTCATTCACACATCATCTGTAGCTACTTTCAGGGTTCCAGCCCAGCAATGAGTAGCTTGACAAGAACCCTAAAGCGCACAAAGCCGAAAATGTTTACCATCTGTCCCTTTGTCAGAGGAGTTTGCCAACTCCTTTTCTACAGAAAAAGTACAGCGTGCCACTCAAAATCGTCCATGGACAGGAAGCATCATCAAAGAGAGATTTTTAGGAAGGATTCCTCCTGTTCCCTTCCTCATTCCTGGATCACGTTATCAACATCTCCCAAGGGGTCAATAATGTACTTAAAGTTTGTGCATCACTGGGGTACCCGGGGGTCCTATAGAAAACTGGGTCCCAAGTAGAAATTTTTTTTAAAAAAAGACAAGGCCTCTCATACTCATAAGTGAAATAAATCAGACTCAGGTGTAAACATCGTATTGTCTCCCTAGTATAAGAACCTGAAAGCATAAATAAAATCTGAAAATCACAATACATATTGTGAAAGGGAAAGAAACTGCTCAAATTGGAAAGAACAACTGGGATGAGGGAAAAAAGAAAAAAAAGCGAGAAAGAAGGATGGGTAAACAATAGCTATATTTATATACATAAGATAGGTAGGATAATTGTAATATTAGTTTCTATTGGTTTATGGAAAGGAACAGTTAATGTTTAACACTTTTTATCAATCTTGCACACCCATCTGGTAATCTGGACAACTACTGTGAAGATAACAATATGCAATATAACAACTATTACTGATTTCCTCTCACCTTGTTTTGAAATTCTGTATAATTTTCATTGTTTTTTGATTGTTTTGTTAATGCCTATGTTTGTGTTATTTTGTTTTTGATATTGTCTCTTTAAAATTAAAGAGAAAGTATATATATGGACAGCTGGGATAAGTGTGTTGCTAACGTCTGTTGTTTTGTTGAAAGGAACAGTTAATGCTTAAATTGGTTTTTTTCTTTACTCTTGACCAATTTTTGCTTGTTTGTTTTTCTTCCAGCACCAGAAATCGAACTCAGGACATTGCGCTTGCCAGGCAAGTGCTGTGCCGCTGAGCTAAATCCCCAACCCCTACTCTTGACCAGTTTTGCATACTTATATCTGGTCATCAGAACAACTGGTTTGAAGACAACAATATGCAAATAACAGCCATTGCTGAATTCTTCTCATCTTATTTGATGAAGCTCTGTACCGCTTCTAAGGTGTTTTTTATTACTTGTCATTGTCTTTAATTGTTTGATCAGTCTTTCATTCTTGCATCTGGTAATCTAAGCAACTTCGTTGAAGATAACAATATGTACTATAACAACCATTGTTAATTGCTAACATCTTGTTTTGAAATCCTGTATTGTTTTTGTATTTTTTTTTGTCGTCTTTGTTGTTAGTTTGTTACTGTTTTCTTTTACTCTTTAAAATAAAAAAAGACGAGGTCTCACAATGTTGTCCAGGCTAGCCTCGAACTACTGGGTTCCAGCTATACTGTTTCTGGGACTACAGCAAGGCGCCCACAGCTCCCAAATCCGTTTAAAACGGTAGTTAGAAGGGATGGCCACCAGGTGGCAATACTGTACTTTTATAAAATGAATTTAAAGTTCTCTTTTTCACATACCCAGAATGACCCTGAGGTTGGGTTTGCAAGGCGGCGTGGAGAGGGTGACGGGTCTGCCCTCTCCTTAGGGATTGGTCCGCAGAGCAGAGGGGATGGTGACAAGATTTAAGCAGGGGCATAGGGGTGGCTTGTGGTGGGGAGCCACGCCACAGATGACGCATCAGCAAACTTTCGGCCAAGGGATCCACTAGTCAGGATTGTCGACTTTCT